ATAATATAAAACTAATATAATATCAATAAAATAATATAAAATAATGTTTAAAAATATCTATAATATTACAATATGAAAAATATGCACAAATAGGATAATAAATCTTTTTTATAAGTATTCATTTAAAACTTTTTTTGTGTAATATACAACTTTTTTAAATATTTTTATATCTCTGTATATGTAATTTAAAATTTTGAAAAATTTTTAAAAGATTGCATATCATATCAAAGGTTTTTAAATAAATAAATACTTGCTGAAAAGTTTTATTATTCTACCTGTAGTGTATTACTAGCATAAGTTTTATTAAAAAACAGGTACAAACTTATATAATCCTGATAGCTTGTAAAAGTTTATTACTTGTTGTGTTGAATAATATTAGAAAAAACCTAAAGTTTCATAAAAAAAAATTAAAATAACTAAACTGATAAAACTATTAAAAGATGGCAAAACTAGAAAGGTAATTAAATTAGTAAATAAGATAAGAATAAAAAGTAATTATATATATATGAATAATTATACTGTTATTTATGATGCTTTTTATTAGTAATCTAAATTTTACTATATTTGATCTATTATATAAATACAACAATTATTTTCTTAAAATTAGCTCTAAGATTTAAAGCCAGATAATATAAAGCATTAGGAAATAATAATAATGCTAACAAATTACTTACATATATTAGTATTTAATTAAAGTTTTAACAATAAAATGCTAAAAAAAAAGACTTAACAATATAACAATAAATTTATTTTGATCTGAGTCAAAATAGAATTTTCATAAATTTATTTAAATATTTAGATAAGTTTATTTTGTACAAATAATATTAATATATAAATAAGTGCTACTAAAAGAAAATAGAATTTCAAACTTTAAGTTAAAAGCCTAAAGTCTAGTTTCCTTTTAATAGTACTCAAATATAACCAAAAAACCATCAATTTGTTTATTACTTTTGTATATTTTTTTATAATCTACATGCTATACTTAATAGCTATATGCAAAATATTTTGATTTACTAACATAACTCAGTCATTCTAAAGTCTTAGAGAATTTGATTTTCATTATGTTTAATTTTTTTTAGGAGTTTTAGTTTACTAGGAATTTTATTAGAGTTTTAATATTTTGTTAGAGTTTCAATATTTTGTCTATTTTAACTTTTATTATTTATCAAAAATAGTTTCATCTAATAACAGTATATTGACTCCAATTTTTTTTAGAAATAAGTTGTTTTAAAAGTACTAGATAATTAATATATAAGGAGATGTAATGATCTAGTGAAGTAATCAGGTTGTCAATTCTCTAAATGATAGATTGGATATTTAAATCTTATTGATAACAAAAATTTAGATAACCATCTATGTAATATTTGTATTATAGCAACTATAACTAATAATTAGATTAGAATACCTGTAATAGTAGTTGCATCAACATAACTGGTAGGTCATAGAGCATCTGTGCAATATTATAATTATACAAAAGAATGTAAACTGACAAATCAGATAATGCAAATACTAGATAAGTCCTTGTAGTTATGTAAATCTGTTGAAATTAAATAACAAGAAGTCTATTTGGAAAGACCTGAATAGAGAGATAATTGGATCTTTGATGACTCTACTATAAAGACTAGTCTGAGAAAATGAATACCAAGATCATAGTACCTAATTATAGTAGTTGAATAGTCAAAAACCATTGGGTTGGAAGTTTCAAAGATACTATTAACCAGGTTACCAGAATGAACTAAAGAAAAAGGATATCAGACTAACCTAATATATCAATAGACTGATTATCATTCTATATAAGCTATCTGGATTAAGAGTTTGGTAAAAAGACAGATGAAAAGATAAGAGTATACTAAAGTATCGAAGTTATGTTGTGAAATAGATGTTAGAGTCTAAGTGAACTCTACAAGAGTATAACAGTTTAATGGTTAAATTCTGATTGCAAGTGTTAATTCTGTCATAGTGATACTTAAGCTAACTGTAAAAATGAATACAGAAGACTCTGAAGGGTTTATCTTAAGGATAAAATAATCCTATGATTAAGATAATAATTTAAGCATCAGGTATGACCCAGTGAAGTTAACAGTTTTGCAGGTTCAAAAGGTTTAAAGTGGAATACCCAAGCAGGGATGTTAGGTATAACAATTGGTAGGAAACCTTCAGGCAGACTCCTTAAATAGGTAATATAGAAAAGTTACATGTGTAACCAATTGTATGCTCTTCCTGTAGTGGTTCACTGAATCACATTTATCATTGTTAAATAAAGTCAAAAGACCCAAGAAGTCACCTTAACACCCAAAAAAAAAAATAATAATAATAATTAATATGTAATGCGATGTATATTTTATCGGTAAATGATCAATAAATGTTTAAATGATTGATAAAAGGTTAAACAGATAACTATTAATAAACGGTTAACCGATTAATAAATAGTTAAACGATTATTAATCGTGTGGTTTATAGTTAGGCAACATGATTAACCACTAGCACGACTTTTTACGGTTCCAAACCCTATTCAAAAGTTTATTTATTAATATAGATAAAACTGTTGTAACTTCATGAACAGAATTGCTTGATATTATATTTCAATTAATGGGATCACGATAAAACAGATTTGTCTCAGATCACTTTGCCAAAAAAAAATTTGATCATATATGCATATAATCAATAGCAATACATCAGAAAAATAATTCACGAAATAAACTTGGAAAGTAAACGTAATTGTATATGCGGAATCAGCCAACAGGGCTTGCTTTATCAATATGACAAAAAATAAAATAAAATGCAGGAAAATAATAAAGAGGAGCCAAAAATAAATTACAATCTACTCAGGATCGGAGGAAACAGTTAAACTTTTTCCATACGCCTACGTAATCTATGTACCTTTGCATGAAATATAAGACTCATATTGACCACTAAAATATTCTGTGAAAGATAAATAAGTTAGTTACGAAAAAATTTTTAAACCACATTCTTGTTACAACATACCCGCAAAATTAACAAAGTTTCCACAATTCTGTTACATCTTTCTCTTCAGCTTGTTGGATAGATATTTTTGCCGATTTAAGATAAAAATATCTATGTATATTACCCGAATCCCTGACAAGTATATTAAGATGTAATTCGCACCCTATAAAAGTTTTTTTGTAAAAATATATTCATAATACGAAAAGATAAGGTAAGAAAAAAATCATACCAGCAACTTGAATTCCAATTATTTCAAACTTATCCTTCTCCGGATAACATGGGCTAGGTGCTGAGAAAAGGGACGAAATTGACAAAAAAAAAGATCTTCGGAAATCAATTTTTATGTTGTAAATCTTATAATAAATCATAGGAAAATGCAAACTTTAAGGAGCTATATTACAAAATTTTATTAGCACAATTACTTTTAAGTCTTTAATGAAAAATGATCTTAATCTTATTTTAAATTGATTTATGTAAAAAAACAGCTTTTGAAAAAAATGTCAATTTCGTCCCTTTTCTCAGCACCTAGCCCACATGCTTTACAGGTCCAAAAAATTCCATCGTTAACTTCTCTCCGCAACTTAACACTATCATTTATTTTTTTATGCTTAGTGCAAACTATGCGGGAACATTCAGTATATATGAGCTCATAAATATATTTTCCAAATTTTAATATAAACATTACATCTGGTCGTCTTCCGAAATTCCCTTCACTTCTTCTATCTGCACTGGCAATACTTTGTTTCTCCGAGCTGGATAAATATAAGATTTAATACTTTTAAATAAACAATATCTAGAAAATATAACTTACGTGCTAACATATGAGGACTTTCCAAATGGAAGATCTTTTAACGCAGCATGAATTGCAGGCACAATGATATTTGTTACATAAGTCCCTTCATTCTGCGATTCTATAAATTCCAGGCTAAATGCTAGATTATTCCATGTATCACTCAAGATACTAAGAATTCCTTTCGTAACTTCTATGAGAGTTTTGTCTCCTTCTTTCCAAGATTTATCATGTTTCAATTTTTCTGGTAAGATCTCCATTTGTTGTTCATTATAATCTGATGCAAATTCTCTACATCTTTCTCGAACAATTGATGGTAAGGAGCTAGGTACCATTTACGAGCTTGTTTCTATAAATGAGTTAAGATAATATCTTATATAAGTTGTGATAGTAACATTATTACCTACCATAAAGACCCTTTTTAATTTTTTTGATGATTTTTTAACTAATTCTGAGTCATTGCTAATAACCTGACTAGCGATAGGATCTTTCCATGACAAACCAGAAACAACTATATCCCCCAAAGAGTTGAGCATTTTGTCATAAAGCGGTGATGAATTTTGCTAATAAATTATATTTAGGAGTTAAAAATAGTATTTATCGTCTAATAAAAAATTAATACTTACTATAAGTTTCGACTTTAACTCCGATATGTTTTTCTCAATCTGCTCGGAACTGAGAGGTTTTTCTTTATTCTTTATATGAGAAAATTTAGTATAATAGAATATATTTTTTTAACACTAATATATACTAAATAACATACTGTTTTTACTGCTCCAATATCTCGTAAACTACACAATCCTTCAAAAGCATCATCGTACTGACGCAGAGAAATTTTAAATTAGATCATGATCTTTCCGGAAATAAATATTCAAAAATCGCGCGCGTCGTCAGATGGTTTCAAAGTTACTATTACGTGTGGCCAACACGCAATAGACTTTGCTTGGTATCAAAGTAAACAACATTAACATTCGCATATGAGTACAGATTAGCATCCTCCACGCGTCCAAGGATAATATCTCCTACACCGTGCATAATGACATCATTTTGTGATAGGTGTTAGATTACTGCTGGAGACAGCTACTTCGTGGCTAGAATTGTCATGGCTCTGATTCGTTTCTGAAGAATTATTATTATTTTGCGCTTCATCTGCCTCATAAGGTGGTAGTTGAAGAGATTATGTTTCGATAGAGCCAGAATGACCAATATTTGCTCAGGATTTTCCACACCAGGATTGTTTGTATTAGTGTTTATTGCATCACGGGATAGAGATGGAGATACTGATCGCCTTCGACTTCTTCGATTGCGCAGTGATATTTGATCTAATGCATGCTCAACTTCCCCAGTAGATGGCGCAGGTGCATCATTCCTTCCAATTCTACGTTGCCTACGGGTTGAGCTATTTATATTACGAAACCTATCAAAATCATCCTCAGGCCTCTCCCAAAAATGCGTACGGAATTCATCAAAATATTGCGCACCCGTTCGACTTCTTCGTACTCTCGATTCCCTCACACATCAACTAATTGATATGAATTATTAGCTATACTAGCTAAAGATGTAAGCAAAAAGATCTGGAAAATTTTCTTACTATACCATACTTACATTGTAATCCCGAAGAATATTCATAAATTTTTCTTTGCATTGATACCCATTAAAGCTCATGTTATGCTTTTGATTAATTCTGGTTGCAATGCTATCCCAAAATCTGATTCGATCCGGTACACGGATTATTTCGGAAAAGAAATTATAGCCTAAAGGAGTATTCTCGATTTCATCATTACCATATCGAAATCTTGGCTCAAAATATAAATTACCTGACCTGCCATCAAGTTCTATAAATAATATATCCTGTAGTTTATAGGTTAAATTCGATAAGCAAAAGTGTAAATATATAAATAATTATGTATCTATTTGGTCTTAAATAGCAATTTATTTTACAGTATATAATATAAAGTAGAAAATATATATATCATTAAGGAAAATTTTCATTTAAATCCGAATCTTAATGGCAACTTTATTACTTTATACATAAATGATTAATATGCACCAGATACATCCTTAGTCCATGTAAATACCCGAATATCGATTAGCATTTTACGGTAATTTATTGGTTTATTAGCACTAAAAACACGTGGGAATAACAACGTTAGAATTAATGTCAGGGCAAGACAATCTTGTTAATTTTTTCTTTCAATAAGATCCCGTGGTAATATGGTGCAAAACACTTAGTCGTGCCACTTTATAGATGTAAAAATTATAAAATTTAGTATGATAGTCACCTATAGAATGTTCATAGTTTTAACATATAGAATTCGAAATTTCCCTTGGACTTCCCTTGGACATCGCAAATGGTCAATTATTTTTGAAATATCTGTTTAAACAGATTTTTCAGAAATAACTGACCATTTGCGATGTTCAATGGAATTCGAATTCTACAGACAACTAGAATTTTAAAAAAAGTATTTAAACTATGAAATTGCTTGAGATACCTTCGTTTAATCTTTGAAACAATTTAAGGTAATTATGAATTTGAGTACCCTAGCCATGGCCAATAATATCCCAAAGGTAAAAACATGTATTCATATTGATACTGAAATAAAATAAAATAATTAACATTATCATTATCTGAGATAAAAATTTGCGATTTGATTATGAAAGTATTCATCACCATGACCTCAATTCGTCGTCCAAATTTCGATTTGCTGGTTTAAAGACGTCTCGCACTGTATTATAAAAATCATAATAGAACAGGGTGAAGCCTGAGTTGCGAAATAGTGAAATCCGCTTTGTAGATCGGGTTAGGGTGAAATCCGCGTTTTATTATGTTTATTAAGAAGCAGATTTCACCCTCATGTGATGGCATAGCAGATTTCACTACCGTATTTCGCGGTCTAAAGTACCCCCCAGTATGAATTTTTATCGGCTCATGCAGATATTTCCATGATGCATATCGGTGTAACAATTACAAATTTAAAGTAAAAAAAAATTGTGAATGGTACATTATGCACCCGATATGTACCATGGAAATATCCGCATGAGCCGATAAAAATTCATACAGGGGAGGGTACTTTAGACCGCGAAATACGGTATTTCGCAACTCATAATTTCTAATATGAATCTGATGAACTATCAAACACTTCCATAGACAGTTGTCGTTCGTAACTTCATTGGTTATTTCAACGAGGGTACAATAACATGGATAACACATAGCTTTATTATAGATATTTCGATCCATTAAGTACTTATAATCTTGATTAATTTATCATATGAGTGAGTACACAGCAAACCATATACTCAAAGCATGGTTTTTCTGTATACTCATATTTTATTATGAAGAAACACCTCTTTTCAATTTTGTGATCGAAAGCATATTCATAAAAGAATACGGTTTTATAAAATGAGATCAGGTTTATCTAAATGATAAAGTTAAACTGAGAGAAGTACGTAGTACGTACATATGTATGTAAATATTTGTGCTACATATTATATCATATATGTATATATGATACATTTCCTGCTAAATTTCTTTGATTTTGTTAAAATTCAACACCTACGTTCCTTTGCTTTTCGACGAATTAAGGATTTATTAAGACGATTAATTTTGCAGTAACATCTCAGAATTATGGTCGATGAATTTAGTTCTATGAGACATGAATTTTATGGAATATGTGCAAATTGCAAACGATTTAGCACATCTAAAGCTTGGTGTCAAACATGTGACACTCAGAAAATAGTACAAGGCAAGGATGGACAAGTGGAAATAAGGAAATCGACAATTGCATTAAAGAATATCAACTTAAAACTACTTCTTATGAAGAAGTAATTGAGTGGATTCCTTTTAATAGAATAGTTAATATTCAAAATGTTGGAGATAACGTTTTAGCAACTTGGTTAGATGGAATACGATATGTAAATAAAAATTATAAGGAAGAATATATGTATAAATATTATACACAGTCACGTACGCCAGCATGCCCAATTACACTTAAAATATTGAGTAGAACACCAAATAATCCAAATATCATAAAAGAAGTGATATTATATTTAATTAATAATGTGTATATTTAATTTATACTCTTAATTTATACTTAAATTATTTATATATTTTATAAGTTTAAGCATCATGTGCAATTAGGACGTGGTGTCTATGGGTTAACTCAGAACACAATCACAAATGAATATATGTTAGTATTTGATGAATTTGGTTCTAAAAGAAATAATAGGTATGGAACATATGCAAATTGCAAGCGATATAACACAGATAACACCTGGTGCCAAACATGTGACCCACAGAAAACAGCACAAAGATGGACAAGTGGAAATAAGGATGTCGATGATTGTATTAAAGAAATTCAACTTAAAGCTGCTTCTTATAATAACGTAATCGAATGGATTCCTTTTAATAAATTAGTTAATATTCAAAACATCGACGATAAAGTTTTAGCAACCTGTTTAGATGGAATACGATGTGCGAAGCATGAGGGTGTATGAATTAGGGATGTGATCCTGCTTAAATTGGTTAGTTCATGCTCCAAACCCGCTCGAACACTGTTCCGAGACACATACATAAACTGAATTTCACATTCGGCTTTAAAACTGGTTAATACATGATTATGAATTATGGTTGTTAATTTAAAACCCGTTATTTATAAGAATACTTGCAAATTTATATTTTATATGCATAATTGCGATATATTTGTTACATGTAATATATGTTAACATAATGTATTTATAGCGATAGTATTATTTATTTACTTGACTCTATATGATCAATAATACCCGACTCATATCAAGTTTTTAAACGAAGGCTTGCGCAAATGTTTTCTTCAGATAGCCGAGTACGTAGTGGGGTAATTGTATTCTTTGCTTTTGAGAACATCTGTTCACTATTATGTAACTAAAACTGGAGTGGCGAGTGATGCAGTGCATGCAGAGAAGATCTGTGACAAAGAATTGGTTTAACCAAAATTGGAACATCTTAGGCAAGTACCCTTAAAGTACTCAATAAATATTCTCTAAAGCAGTTATACATCACAACTTAGATGATAGGCATCATATCTGTATGTAATAAATGAAGGTTCCAGGTCTTCTTGCAACATCAAACTGATAATACATTGATACATAATCAGTAGTATACTTATAGAAAGTCTATAGGAAGTATATGTGATTAAGTTGCAGATTAAACCAACTATGAAAGTACATCTAAAAAGGATATATGATAAACTGCAAAATGATAATCCAGATCTTGATAAATCCAGCCATACTATCAGAGTACTAAAAAGTAAATTAAATTATATACATTAAATTGATAGCAAGAAGAACAAGAAACCATCAGAGTTAACTAATTTGAGAAAAGAATGAGTTACTGCAAGTAGTAGATAAAAAAAGTAAGAGAAAATTTGGATATAACAAGGTAATCTATAGCCTTTCTGATAGTTTAGTAATGATGATTAAAATGCATAGTGAAGGTTACAAAATAAAGTATATAGAAAAATATAAGTGTAATATTATATTGGATGTCTAGAGCAATTAGTAATATAGTAACACAAATGTAATAAAACTATATATAATAGTAATGCAAAAAAACTAAATAAAGTATAAGTTACAATTTGGTATTATAAAAAAAAAAACAATTTATTTTTATTTTGACTTTAGTTTTTTTAAAAAAAATTTTTTTTTTTTTTTTTGGTATTAAGGTGAGGCCTTGCTTATATCTTTATTAATAATTTAAAATAGTTACATAT